GCTGGGCAAACCAGGAGGAAGAGGTGGGCTCTTTTCTAGGACAACTGAGGAGCTGCCATAACCATGACCCGTTGCTCCACCCACCATGTTATTTCAGTGAGATCTTCTGTAAGGGAGGATCAACGTATTTCTGTAACTGATTTCTGAGATCAGAGAATCCATTGGTAGAAGGCAGGTAAGGAAGAAGGGGCTTCTCTCGAACTCCGTGAAGTCATGGAGAAGCAACACAACTGGATCTTGGCCAGTTTCTGGAGCATTTGTTGGCAAACGGATAGGAGGGTTTCATCAACTTTCCATGAGATTATGGAGGGCTGTAAACACACTCCCCCTCACCCCCAAATCATCATCATCATCATCATCATCATCATCATCATCATCATCTTGCATACCCTCAATACCACTGTAGGGGATGTGAGGGATATCTCCGCCATGTCTCCCTCTTAGAATCCTAGAGTTGGAAGAGACCTCCTGGGCCATCCAGTCCAACCCTATTCTGCCAAGAAGCAGGAATATTGCATTCAAATCACCCCTGACAGATGGCCATCCAGCCTCTCTTTAAAAGCTCCCAAAGAAGGAGCCTCCACCACACTCTGGGGCAGAGAGTTCCACTGCTGAACGGCTCTCACAGTCAGGAAGTTCTTCCTCATGTTCAGGTGGAATCTCCTTTCATAGAATCATAGAATCAAAGAGTTGGAAGAGACCTCCTGGGCCATCCAGTCCAACCCCCTGCCAGGAAGCAGGAATACTGCATTCAAAGTACCCCTGACAGATGGCCATCCAGCCTCTCTTTAAAAGCTCCCAAAGAAGGAGCCTCCACCACACTCCAGGGCAGAGAGTTCCACTGCTGAACAGCTCTCACAGTCAGGAAGTTCTTCCTCATGTTCAGACGGAATCTCCTTTCTGGTAGTTTGGACTTCCTGGGTGAGATAAAGGTCTTCTTGTTCTACGAGAAGGACCTTAAATGGCCCAGTGGGTTGACGAAGTGATGCAAATGGATGCCCTTGGGGGTATTTAACGGCAGATCTTTGGAAACCTGGTCTCCACATGCCGCCTTTGGGCCATACTTTGTGAACTCTTGGTCTACAGTGCTTTTGACAGAGAGAATATGCCTCTTCCAGCATAAACCAGTCCCTTACTCCTTCCACTCCAGTCCTTTTTTGGTGATATTTTGGAAAGCGGGGGATATAACGGTTCAATGTGGAAGGTCTGAGACATGCGTGCAGATTTTTTTAAAACGTGGCAATGCCACATACAACGAGTACTCTGAAGGAAACACCTTTGGGTCGGATCTCTGCAGCCGAAGGTGATCCACTTCGCCCTGACTGTCATTTGTATCTTTGTGTTTCTTGGGTGTTTCCTATCCACCCGACACTTAGCAGTGATGAAAGAGAATTCCTGCATGTTTTGTCTACACCCTTGCAGGCTTCAAAGACTCAAATACAAGCGAAGGAAGGGGAAAAAGAGAGAGAAAGGCTCACAAATCCTGCCTCGTACTTTCGGCACAAAAGAACGGATGCCAACCCTCTACGGAAGGGAACCGGAGACCTCAAATATCTATAGATGGGAATCCGACGTCCCCAAACAAGACAGAAGTGAATCTAACACTCTAGAAGGGAACCACCCATCCCAATATCCTACAGAAGGGATTCTAAGACCCTATGGAGGGGAATCGAGGACCTTAAAAGACCACAAAAGGAAACCTGGATGAGAAAGAAACCAGTAGAAGCACCTTCAACCGTTCAGTATTTGGAAACCTTGACACACATGGTGACATTTTGCAGCCCAGGATTACAAGCAACAGTCCCGTCCCCCCCTTAAAGCTTTCCTAACCAGAGTCCTGCAAAACAAGAGGGGAAATGGGAGCCACGTGTTGCTGTGGCCCAGTCTGCGTATATGTGTTTTTCGTGTGTATATGTGCATATGTGTGTGTTAGACATGGTCAATCCATGGTTCTAAAGTACTTACAAAACTAAAGTTCTGGTAGTGAAAATTTCAGAACTCTAACAAAACTTTCAAAATTTAATTATTATTTCATTATTGGTGATTTTTATGATAGAACCAATTAGGAAGTGCCATTTATAATGAAATTTGAGAGTTTTGTTAGAGTTCTGAAATTTTCACCACCAGAACTTTAGTTTTGTAAGTACTTTAGAACCTCTTAGAACCATGGATTGACCAGACCTTGTGTGTGTGTGTGTGTGTGTTTGTGTGTATGGTTTTGTGCATGTGTTGTAATATWTTTTTTGTTTTTTGGCTTTCTAGTCGTCCCCTGCCATGAGTTGCAGTGGCCAGTCTGCATATATGTGTTTTCTSTGTGTATATATTTGTGTACATGTGTATATATGTGTGTGTGTKTGTGGGTTTGCACATGTGTTGTAATATATTTTTTGGTTTTCGGCTTTCTAGTCGTTCCCTGCCATGCATTGTTGTGGCTCAGTCTGTGTATATGTGTTTTCTGTGTGTATATATTTGTGTATATGTGTGTATGTGTATATGTATGCATGTGTATGGTTTAGCGCATGTGTTGTAATATTTTGTTTTTGTTTTTGGCTTTCTAGTCGTCCCTGCCATGCGTTGTTGTGGCCCAGTCTGCATATATGTGCTTTCTGTGTGTATATATTTATGTATATGTGTATATATGTGTGTGTGTGTGGTTTTGCACATGTGTTGTAATATATTTTTTAGTTTTCGGCTTTCTAGTCGTTCCCTGCCATGCATTGTTGTGGCTGTGTATATGTGCTTTCTGTGTGTATATATCTGTGTATATGTGTATATATGTGTGTATGTGTATATCTATCTATCTATCTATCTATTATCTATCTATCTATCTATCTATCTATCTATCCATCCATCCATCCATCCATCCATCCATCCTATCTATATATCTATATCAATATATCTCTATCTATCTATCTATCTATCTATCTATCTATCTATCTATCTATCTGTATGTGTGTGTGTGTGTGTGTGTTGGTGGGTTTGCGCATGTGTTGTAATATATTTTTTGTTGTTTGGCTTTCTAGTCATCCCCTGCCATGCGTTGCTGTGGTCCAGTCTGTGTATATATGTTTTTTGTGTGTGTATGTGTGTATATATATTTGTGTATATGTGTATATATGTGTGTTTGCATATATGTGTGTGTCAAGGTCAGACGCCAGCCAATTCAGATAATTCTATCACAACAGTGTGTGTGGTTTTGCACATGCACTAGTGTATATATTTTTTTGCCTTTTTAAGTCTCTTCTGTTGTGTTTTCCAGTGTTTTATGAGTGAGGGTCACTCCCTGGCCTGAGAGGTGTCTTGTGTCCAAATTTGGTGTCAATTCGTCCAGTGGTGTTTGAGTTCTGTTAATCCCACAAACGAACACTGCATTTTTGTTTATATAGATGGGGAAGAATAGCAAGTAAGTCTCAGCCCTTCCAAGAAAAATACCACCGCAAGGGCGACGGAAGGTGGAGTTTTTCCTTCCAGGTTCTGCCCCGCGTTGCATTACCTGACTGTGTTTCTCAACCTGGGGGTCGGGACCCCTGAGGGGGTCGTGAGGGGGTGTCAGAGGGGTCGCCAAAGACCATCAGAAAATACAGTATTTTCTGGAGGTCATTGGGATTCTGTGTGGGAAGTTTGACCCAATTCTATTGTTGGTCGAGTTCAGAATGCTTTTTGATTGTAGGTGAACTATAAATCCCAGCAACTACAACTCCCAAATGTCAAGGTCTATTTTCCCCAGACTCTACCAGTGTTCACATTTGGGCATACTGAGTATTTGTGCCAAGTTTGGTCCAGATCCATCATTGCATGAATCCACAGCGCTCCTCTGGATATAGGTGAACTACAACTCCCAAACTCAAGGTCAACGCCCACAAAACCCTTCCAGTGTTTTCTGTTGGTCATGGGAGTTCTTTGTGCCAAGTTCGGTTTAAATCCATCAGTGGTGGAGTTCAGAATGCTTTTTGATTATAGGTGAACTATAAATCCCAGCAACTACAACTCCCAAATGTCAAGGTCTATTTCCCCTAGACTCTACCAGTGTTCACATTTGGGCATACTGAGTATTTGTGCCAAGTTTGATCCAGATCCATCCTTGCTTGAGTCCACAGTGCTCCTCTGGATATAGGTGAACTACAACTCCCAAACTCAACTACAACTCCCAAACTCCCAAACTCCTTCCAGTGTTTTCTGTTGGTCATGGGACCTCTTCAAGTTCGGTTTAAATCCATCGCTGGTGGAGCTCTGAATGCTTTTTGATTATAGGTGAACTATAAATCCCAGCAACTACAACTCCCAAATTACAAAATCAATCCTCTCCCCCCCCCCCCCCCCCCCCCCCAACCCCACTAGCATTCACATTTGGCCATATTGGGTATTTGTGCTCAATTTATTCCAGTGAATGGAAATATATCCTGCATATCGGATATTAACATGACGATTGATAACCGTACTAAAATGACAGGTACCAAGTAGCAACGAAAACAATATTATGGTTGGGGGTCACCACAACATATGGAACGGCATTATTAAGGGGTCACGGCATTGGCAAGGTTGAGAACCACTGTGCTAAAGAGAGAGAGATGGGGGGGGGGACACCGTCCTTCAGGTGTTATTAATGTCCAGGACTGAGCGGAATACAAATGGGGAGAGGAGCGGACGGCGAAGAAGAGGCGGCTCTTATCTCTCCACCTCCGGCCAACGGGTTCTGACCTCGGCGTGGAACCTGACAGCATCTCCAGATTCCCAAACAAGCCCTCAATGACAGATCGGGGCAAGAGCGGCCTCCCTGAGATGGGGGGGGGGGAGATATATATTCTGCGTCAAGAGGCGGAAAGGGAAGGGGACCCAGAAGAGAAGGCGTCGCGCCAATGAGACGTCCCCCGTTTCCTTCCCGGAGGAACGCATTCAAGCACGAGCGCCCTCCCTCCCTCCCTCCCGCTTGCCAAGGGAATCCGTGCCCGGAAGAAGGAAGAAGAACCAAGAGGAAGAGGAGAGTGGCGTGTTCCACGTACCGTAGACGTAAAGGACGTAATCGGAGAAGGAGGTGCCCACTTCGTTGGAAGCCTCGCAGCGGTAGGTGCCGTTGTCGCTCTTGTTGAGGCTCTCGATGTGGAGGTTCGATCCGGACACTAGAACGTGTTGGGGCATCTCGTCGTCGACCCGGATCCACGTCACGTCCAGGGGCCTAAAAAGGAGGAAGGAAGGAAGGAAGCAAGGAAAGAAAGAAGGGGATAATCTGAAACTAGGTACAAATACATATGAAAGCCAGGTCTAAGGACTGGGACAGACTGGGAGTGATTCACAGCTTGGGAGTGATCCTGGACTCATCGCTGAGCCTGGAACCACAGGTTTCAGTGGTGGCCGGGAGAGCTTTTGCACAATTAAAGCTTGTGCACCAGTTGCGTCCGTACATTGGGAAGTCTGATTTGGCCACAGTGGTCCACGCTCTTGTTACATCCCGTATAGACTACTGCAAACACACTCTACGTGGGGTTGCCCTTGAAGACTGTTCGGAAACTTCAACTGGTCCAGCGAGCTTTTGCACAATTAAAACTTGTGCACCAGTTGCGCCTGTACCTTGGGAAGTCTGATCTGGCCACAGTGGTCCACGCTCTTGTTACATCCCGTATAGACTACTGCAAACACACTCTACGTGGGGTTGCCCTTGAAGACTGTTCGGAAACTTCAACTGGTCCAGCGAGCTTTTGCACAATTAAAACTTGTGCACCAGTTGCGCCCTGTACCTTGGGAAGTCTGATCTGGCCACAGTGGTCCACGCTCTTGTTACATCCCGTATAGACTACTGCAAACACACTCTACGTGGGGTTGCCCTTGAAGACTGTTCGGAAACTTCAACTGGTCCAGCGAGCTTTTGCACAATTAAAACTTGTGCACCAGTTGCGCCTGTACCTTGGGAAGTCTGATCTGGCCACAGTGGTCCACGCTCTTGTTACATCCCGTATAGACTACTGCAACACTCTACGTGGGGTTGCCCTTGAAGACTGTTCGGAAACTTCAACTGGTCCAGCGAGCTTTTGCACAATTAAAACTTGTGCACCAGTTGCGCCTGTACCTTGGGAAGTCTGATCTGGCCACAGTGGTCCACGCTCTTGTTACATCCCGAATAGACTACTGCAACACACTCTATGTGGGGTTGCCCTTGAAGACTGTTCGGAAACTTCAACTGGTCCGGTGAGCGGCAGCCAGGCTGCTCACCGGAGCGACATACAGGGAGCACACCACCCCTCTGCTGTGTCAGCTCCACTGGCTGCCGGTTCAATTCCGAGCACAATTCAAGGTGCTGGTTTTGACCTACAAAACCCTGTACGGTTCCGGTCCAGCGTATCTGTCCGAACGTATCTCCCTCTACGTCCCACCCCGGAGTTTGAGATCATCTGGGGAGGCCCTGCTATCGACCCCACCACTGTCACAAGTGAGGCTGGTGGGGACGAGGAGCAGGGCTTTCTCAGTGGTGGCCCCTCACCTGTGGAACTCACTCCCGGGAGAAATCAGAGCATCACCATCCCTCCTCTCCTTCAGGAGGAAGGTAAAGACGTGGTTGTGGGACCAGGCCTTCGGGCAATCTACTAACTAGATAAGGACAGCCAGACGAATAGGACCGGCAGGACTGACAATTGTGGAATTGGAATTTGAACTATGAGATAGCGAACGCTGACCGGCAATAAGGAGTAATTGGTTTGTATTTATTTGTATGGATTTTTATTGGTCTTATTGGTTTTATCGGTTTATAGATGTAATGTAGAATTGTGGTTTGATTGCTAATTTATGTTATTTTGTTTTATTACTGTTGTGTGATATGGGCATCGAATTGTGCCTTGCTTTTGTAAGCCACCCTGAGTCCCCTTCGGGATGAGAAGGGCGGGGTAGAAGGAAACCAAATAAATAAATAAATAAGACTGGCACTAACTGGGAATCCATCTCCGGGGGGCCAAGCGGAGAAGGCCCTGCTTTTGTGCTCTCTCACCCTGAGTTTTTAAACCATTGTATTGTACATGCGGCCCGCTCACTGTCATTATGTTGTTTATTGCTTTCTTATGCTTTGTGTATATTGCTTATTGTGTTTATATGCTTTTGTACTTTATTGCAATGTTGTTTATTTTATTTTATTATAATTTGTATTGTGTTTTATTGTAATTTGTTCTTTGGGCTTGGCCTCATGTGAGCCGCCTTGAGTCCCCATTGGGGAAGATGGTGGCGGAGTATGAATAAAGATTATTATTATTATTATTACTACTACTAGTCGTCCCCTGCCATGCATTGCTGTGGCCCACATGGGGACTCTGTGTGGGAGGTTTGGCCCAATTCTATCGTTGGGGGGGTTCAGAATGCTCTGTGATTGTAGGTGAACTATAAATCCCAGCAACTACAACTCCCAAATGTCAAGATTCTTTTCCCCAAACTCCACCAGTGTTCACATTTGGGCATATTGAGTATTCGTGTAGAGTTTGGTCCAGATCCATCATTGTTTGAGTCCACAGTGATCTCTGGATGTAGGTGAACTACAACTCCCAAAACCAAAGGACACTGCCCACCAAACCCTTCCAGTATTTTCTGTTGGTCATGGGAGAACTGTGTGCCAAGTTTGGTTCAATTCCATCATTGGTGGGGTTCAGAATGCTCTGTGATTGTAGGTGAACTATAAATCCCAGCAACTACAACTCCCAAATATCAAGTTTCTATTTTCCCCAAACTCCACCAGTGTTTACATTTGAACATATTGAGTATTCGCGTAGAATTTGGTCCAGATCCATCATTATTTTAGTCCACAGTGATCTCTGGAGGTAGGTGAACTACAACTCCAAAACCAAAGGACACTGCCAACCAAACCCATTCAGCATTTTCTGTTGGTCATGGGAGTTCTGTGTGCCAAGTTTGGTTCAATTCCATCGTTAGTGGGGTTCAGAATGCTCTTTGATTGTAGGTGAACTATAAATCCCAGCAACTACAACTCCCAAATGATCATTGTTTGAGTCCACAGTGTTCTCTGGATGTAGGTGAACTACAACTCCAAAACCAAAGGACACTGCCCACCAAACCCAGTATTTTCTGTTGGTCATGGGAGAACTGTGTGGGAAGTCTGGCCGAATTGTCTCATTGGTGGAGTTCAGAATGCTCTTTGGTTGTAGGTGAACTATAAATCCCAGCAAGTACAACTCCCAAATGACAAAATCAATTTTTTTGAGTGATGGACATACATTGGGTGGTTAGGTGTATGCTGTCCAAATTTGGTGTCAATTGGCCCACTGGTTTTTGAGTTCTGTTAATCCCACATGAACATGACATTTTTATTTATATAGATTATTGGGTTGTTGTAGGTTTTTTCGGGCCAGATACAGCCCTCCAAGGTAATTTTCCCGGCCCTCACTCAGGGTCAACCAAAGTCTGAAACGACTTGAAAGTACACAACAACAACAACAACAACAACAACAACAATCCTATCTCATCAGCCAAAAACAGGCCCACACTTCCCACTGAAATACTAGTAAGTTTATATTTGTTAAAATTGTTCTTCATTTTAATGATTGTATTGTTTTTAAGTGTTTTTTGAACTACAAATAAGAGATGTGCACTGTGCATAGGAATTCATTCATGCTTTTTTTTTTCAAATTATGATCCAGGCCTCCAACAGTTTGACAGACTGGACCTGGCCCTCTGTTTAAAAATTTTGTGGACCCCTGGTCTAGAGGCATTCTCTCCTGACGTTTCGCCTGCATCTATGGCAAGCATCCTCAGAGGTAGTGAGGTCTGTTGGAACTAGGAAAAAGGGTTTATATATCTGTGGAATGACCAGGGTGGGACAAAGGACTCTTGTCTGCTGGAGCTAGGTGGGAATGGGTTGTTGTTGGTTTTTTCAGGCTATATGGCCATGTTCTAGAGGCATTCTCTCCTGACGTTTCGCCTGCATCTATGGCAAGCATCCTCAGAGGTAGTGAGGTCTGTTGGAACCAGGAAAAAGGGTTTATATATCCTGTGGAATGACCAGGGTGGGACAAAGGACTCTTGTCTGCTGGAGCTAGGGGTGAATGTTTCAACCAGTATTTTAAAAAACTCTAAAATTACAACAGCAAACATCAGAGGAAAAACAATCAGGGAAATCTAATCACCTCTTAACAAAAGATTGCTCCAGGCACTGCCAGGCCATCAAATGCTAATCAAGGTGGTCAGTTGAAACATTCACACCTAGCTCCAGCAGACAAGAGTCCTTTGTCCCATCATGGTCATTCCACAGATATATAAGCCCATTTTCCTAGTTCCAACAGACCTCACTACCTCTGAGGATGCTTGCCATAGATGCAGGCGAAACGTCAGGAGAGAATGCCTCTAGAACATGGCCATATAGCCTGAAAAAACCCTACAACAACCCAGTGTTTCTGGTCATGAAAGCCTTCGACAATACATTATTATTATTATTATTATTATTATTATTATTATTATTATTATTATTGTGGGTTGCCACTGTGTTTTAATGACTCATTAAAATACATATTTGGAAAGGTGGGCACTTGTGTGTTAACTTACACAAGTGCCCACCTTCCCCCCTGCTTTTGCTTTGACATAAGAGCAATGTTTTGAGTTAAGAGCTCGGTCTCTCTTAACTCAAGATAACATTGTATGCATGTTTGGTGTCCTTTCCCTGGCCCTCATTTATTTATTTATTTATTTATTTATTTCTCGTATTTATATCCCGTCACTTCTCAACCCCCGAAGGGGGGACTCAGGACGACTCACAATGTGCCCCATTTCCTGCTTCTTCTTTTCTTTCTCGTATTTTGGAAACGCAATGCAAACCCAATGGAGGGGAAATGCACCGTTGCAAAGAAATCCATCCAGGAAGCTAGGAAACCAAACCCGACGCTCCGGTGGTCTTAATGCGCGCACACAGAAATGCAACACAATGCAAAGGAGCTTGGAGGGTACGTGGGAAACACTGCGGCCTCTGCGGAAACCGTACACAATTCCATCCAAAGTGTCTCCTATCCTTTGGGAGCAAGGACTGCATCAGGACCGCAGCCTTGGATTTAAATTCATGGTGAACGATGGTGGGAAGCGGAGGGTGTGTGTGTTGTGTGTGTGTGTGTCGGGGGAGGCCAGGGAGAGGCAAAGAAAACCTTCTGTAAGCGAAAAGGTCAGAGCGGGAGGTTATCGATCAGGCGTGTCTTCTTCGGTAGGGCAAATTCATTAAGCGGAGGGAAGGAGGGAGGAGGAAAAACAAGGCCGGCTGGAAAAGAAGAATCAAAGCCCAGCCAAGTCCAATGGACCTCTGGCCTGATAACACAATCAGGGAAAGAGGCTGGGGAAAAAAGAAGGTTGTGTGGGGCCTCTTGTGGTGATGGTTTGAGCAGGCACATCATGCCCAAAGGGAAACTGCGCTGGTGGTGCTACCCTTCCCATGCCATTTCTGCTTCCGGAGCTCCATTTTCAAGCCCACTTGGTGAATGAAGGCACACCTGTCCTATCTCTCACATGCATAAACATATTTGGCTGTAACTTCTCTACTAAACGCAGTAACATCCCATTATTACAGTGGAAGCGGTGGCGCAGTGGGTTAAACCCCTGTGCCAGCAGGACTGAAGACCGACAGGTCGCAGGTTCGAATCCGGGGAGAGCGCGGATGAGCTCCCTCTATCAGCTCCAGCTCCTCATGAGGGGACATGAGAGAAGCCTCCCACAAGATGATAAAAACATCAAATCATCCAGGCGTCCCCTGGGCAACGTCCTTGCAGACGGCCAGTTCTCTCACACCAGAAGCGACTTGCAGTTTCTCAAGTTGCTCCTGACACGACAAAAAAAGCGGAAGCTCAACTTATGAGCATTTTGAGTTACAAAACACTCAAACTTACGAAAATGTCCCAACTTACGAGCATTTCAAGTTACGAAATGCTTGCCCCTGCTTTTGCTTTGACATAAGAGCAATGTTTTTAGTTAAGAGCCCGGTCACTCTTAACTCAGGGCAACACTTTTTTCAAAGTTCCCTCTCATCCTCACAGCAAACAGGATGTTTGTAGCGCAAAACTTACTTGGGTTTGCTCTTCACTTAAAGTCTTGAAGTTTTGCAAGACTTTACAAGTGTTTCGAGTTACGAGCAGATGCTCACCCCCGGTTTTGCTTTGACATAGGAGCAATGTTTTGAGTTAAGGGCCCAGTCACTATTAACTCAGGAGCAATGTTTTGAGTTAAGGGCCCAGTCACTATTAACTCAAGAGGGACTGGGCTCTTAGCTCAAGGCAACACTATTTTTTCCCCTAAAGGTCCCTCTCATCCTCACAGCAAACAGGGTATTTGTAGCCCTTGACTTGGCAAAGCAGGTCAAGGAGGTCTCCTTCTCTTGTGAGCAGCTGAGCGGGGGAGCGGGCAAGACCTTATGAGTGTTTTGAGTTACAAGCAGATGCTCACCCCATTTTGCTTTGACACAGGAACAATGTTTTGAGTTAAGGGCCCAGTCACTCTTAACTCAGGAGCAATGTTTTGAGTTAAGGGCCCAGTCACTCTTAACTCAAGAGGGACTGGGCCCTTAACTCAAAGCAACACTATTTTTTTTCATCCTCACAACAAACTGGTTATTTGTAGCATGACACTTAGGTTTGCCCTTCACTTGGCAAAACAGGTCAAGGAGGTCCCCTTCTCTTGTGAGCGGCGATGTTTTGCAAAACTTTATGAGTGTTTTGAGTTATGAGCAGATGCTCAACACCTGGTTTTTGCTTTGACATAGGAGCAATGTTTTGAGTTAAGGGCCCAGTCACTCTTAACTCAAGGCAACACTGTATTTTTTCCAAAGGTCCCTCTCATCCTCACAGCAAACAGGATGTTTGTAGTGCAACACTTACTCGGGTTTGCCCTTCACTTGGCAAAGCAGGTCAAGGGGGGGCTCCTTGTCTTGTGAGCGGCTGAGTGGAGAAGTTTTGCAAGACTTTACGTGTGTTTTAAGTTACGAGCAGATGCTCACCCCCCCAGTTTTGCTTGGATATAGGAGCGATGTTTTGAGTTAAGGGACCAGTCACTCTTAACTCAAGAGGGACTGGTCCCTTAACTCAAAGCAACACTATTTTTTTCAAAGGTCCCTGTCATCCACACAGCAAACAGGATGTTTGTAGCACAACACAGATGCTCAACCCCGGTTTTTGCTTTGACATAGGAGAAATGTTTTGACTTGAGGGCCCAGTCACTCTTAACTCAAGGCAACACTGTATTTTTTCCCCAAAGGTCCCTCTCATCCTTACAGCAAACAGGATGTTTGTAGTGCGACACTTACTCGGGTTTGCCCTTCACTTGGCAAAGCAGGTCAAGGAGGTCCCCTTCTCTGGTGAGCGGCTGAGCGGGGGAGTTTTGCAAGACTTGGACTTCGGGCTTATCTGTGCAGCAAACACACAAAACACACCATGAGAGGGAGAGAGAGAAGGAGAGAGAAGGCAAGCAACACGAGAGAGAAGAAAAGCACGTGCAACCGAACGCGTTTCTGGATGGATCCTGGAACGAAACCTTCCCAAATTAAGTTGACTAATAACCTCCAAAGCCTTACACGCCGATAAGGCCTCTGCGCACCAAGGGCAGCAAGCGGTGCCAGGAGCCTCCGCCGGCTCTTGCGAAATGAAATTTTGTCAAATTGAAGTTTATCTCTGAACTCACTCGAGCTAAAGGAAACTCATTTGCCTTCATGCTGAGGTGAAACGGCAGATTTGTGGCGTTCAGAATTGATATGTTTTATCATGTATCATATTTTACGGGATGACAATACTCGGTGCCACGGCATATTAATACGTCCGGGCTCCGGTGGGAGCGTCGAGCAAGCAACGGACGGCATGGCGGCGGTGGCCCTTGTGCACGAACAAAGGAGAGCCTTCCGCCACCACCAGACACCTCTCACAAATCCCCAAATGCAAATGCGGCCAAGGATTAATGTGGGAAGGGAGTGTCAATCCTTCTGGAGGGTCTGAAGGAACAGGAGATGGTGCCCACCATCATGGAGTCCACTGCCTTCCACACCTACAAGGCAATTTGCTGCCGAATCAGATGAAGACAATCCATGGAAAGCCATGTGTTCCATTTCCACCAACAATCAACCCGTTGTTGAACCAACAATCAACCCTTTGAGATGGTTACCATGAACTCATGGGAACCATCTCAAATGGAGAGTGATAATAAACCCAAAGACATAAGGACTTAGTCTGGATCAGTATACAAAGGGATTGTGGAGCCTCTTTGGGATTAAGTGAGAGAAAGACCTCTCATAAGGTTTGGGAGACCGAGTCTACGCCGGACTGGAAGAGAGCCCAAACGGCCCCATATGGACCATGAAGGTGGCCACACTCATTGGGCTGGATCCAGGGCTCGAAGAGAGATCCAGCTGTGTTTGCCTGGAATATTGGTATGCAAAGGAATCTTGTATCCCCTCTCAGATGAACTGAGAGGAAGACCTTGGTAGCATAAGCTTTTGTAAATGGAATTTGTTGTTGTTGTTGTTCATTCATTCAGTCGCTTCTGACTCTTTGTGACCTCCTAGACCATCCCAGGTCAGAGCTGCTCCCTGTTTGTCGTCACCACCCCCAGGGTCTCCTTCAATCCAGTCACTTCAAGGATGCCATCCATCCATCTTGCTCTTGGTCAGACCCTCTTCCTTTTTCCTTCCATTTCCCCAGCATCATTGTCTTCTCTAAGCTTTCCCGTCTCCTCATGATGTGGCCAAAGTACTTCATCTTGGCCTCTACTATCCTTCCCTCCAATGAGCAGCCGGGCTTTATTTCCTGGAGGATGGGCTGGTTGGATCTTCTCGCAGTCCAAAGCACTCTCAGAACTTTCCTCCAGCACCACAGCTCAAAAGCTTCTCTCTTCCTTCGCTCAGTTTTCCCTAAGGTCCAGCTCTCACATTCGTAGGTGGCTACGGGAAATACCATTGCTTTATGTGGATCTTCGTTGCCAATGTGATGTCTCTACTCTTCACTATCTTATCAAGATTAGACATTGCTTTCCTCCCAAGAAGGAAGCATCTTCTGATTTCCTGGCTGCAGTCTGCATCTGCAGTCATCTTTGCAGCTAGAAATACAAACTGAATCTACAAAGGCCAAATAATCTGGGACTAGTCCTGAGCCTGAATGGTCCTGGATAAAGGTGACCACATCCACTGAGTCAAATCTAACATGGTGCCTCCCTGTTGTCCATGTAGGCAGTGAATTCACTCAGGTGGCCATTTTGGCATTGCCAACACCACATCTTGCCATCAGAACTGGCTGGATCCAGACCTGAACCAGCTGTCCAGATATCAACAACTGGATCAAAAAGCTACTCTTGAGTTTCTGGGGAACAATGGACTTTTCCTTGAGTTTGCTTCGGTCAGAGCAAAGTCAATGTGAAGCCAGAGAAGATAGACATAAGTCATCTGGAGCATCACCACCAGCTTTGGGATGAGTCCACCTTTTTTACTGAGTCATGGAATTATAATCATAGAATTATAGAATCTTAGAGTTGGAAGAGACCTCCAAAGGCCATCCAGTCCAACCCCATTCTGCCAAGAAACAGGACAATCACGTTCAAAGTACCCCTAACAGATGGCATCCAGCCTCTGCTTCAAAGCCTCCAAAGGAGGAGCCTCCACCACACTTCAAGGTAGAGAGTTCCACTGCTGAACGGCTCTCACAGCTAGGAAGTTCTTCCTCATGTTCAGGTGGAATCTCCTTTCCTGTTGTTTGAAGTCTATGTGCATCTGATGATGCAAACTCCAATCTATAAAAGCTTATGCTCCAAACATCTTCTTCACAGATGCTACAAGATCCCTTTGCATAATAAACATGGAGGTAGTTCCATCCCTTGTCAACCTGGGATACAAAATGAGGGAGAGGCGACATGTTTTGCTCATGCACCGAAGAGCACCTCAAAGCCCAATTTGAGGAACTGGGTGCGTATGGATGGAGATAGCTAAGTTGGAGAGATGTATGGACCACCTGTAGACGCAGGGAGCTCCCAGTACAAATTGGAATGGGGTCCAGTTGTTTTAGAAACCCAACTGGTGCCTAAGACTTGGTGCAGAATAAGACGTGAAGTAAAGTAGGTCTACTTGGGATTTCTGCTCCATAGTCTCGTTGGCAAGGGACCGACGAAGAGGCAAACACATATATTATCCACTTTCACACAATACTTCAAAACGAACAATGGTGGACATTCAAGGAAACCTGTAAAAGAACACTGGGGTGACTTTAAGCAGCAAAGATCATCATCAAATCTAGAGAGTAACACAGGAAGTTAGTGCGGACGCAGAAAGGGAGATGATGCACCTTACTTGGAATTTCACTGAGAGAGATTATCTATCTATCTATCTATCTATCTATCTATCTATCTATCTATCTATCTATCTATCTAGTTTAGACCATAAATACATTATAGATATATGCATTTTTGTTTCAACTACACAAGCAATGCTTGAGCACATGATGTGACATGACACACATATGATCTTCTCTTCCAGGGAAGGAGGAAGTCCGCTCCTGCTGGGAAATAAGGGTAAGTATCAGTCCACGGATACTGAACTCATAAAACCTTACATTTCCTTGATTTCAGAATATTGACAAACCAATTGCTCCCTGCCCCCCAAAATCGTGCAACCAGGGATTTGAATCTCACGAGGAAATGAAACGCCTCTTTCCCTCGTCAACCACAATGTCTCCACGCGCTCAGATTGCTTGCAAACGAGAGGAAGAAACAATGGTATTATTTGCGACGCGCACCCCCAAATTATAGGGAATTCCTGCCTAGAATTCCTGCAAATTGACAGGAGAAAATAAATGAGAGGTAGAAGGAGAACTGGAGGAGGGAAACAAAATATAATTGTAATTAGATGTTAGTTTTGAAACATGAACCAGTTAAAGGCATATATCACCTGGTAAGGCCTTTGAAAGATAATGGACGCCGCTCTAAATATGACACATAGGACGAGGTGTAATGGGGTGTAATGGGGTTCAATGGAAGACAAAGAGTCAAAAAGGAGATGGAGACGGAGGAGGAAAGAACAGAGGGATTGGGAAGGAAAGCAGCCGGAGGGAGATATTTGGATAGAAGAGAAACAAAAAGCGAAGGGACATGGATTGGCATGCAAAACACAAATGTTTACATTGGGGGGAAAGGAAAATTAGGTAATAATATTTGATGGAATGATGATATTTTTGTGCCATGGTTAAGAACAAAGTGATTTTTAGCAATATTTGGCCATTGCGAGTAACAAACAAAAATAGCAGCAGCAGTGATGGAATTTGGGGGAAAGGAAAGAGGAAGAGAGCCAAGGAAGAAGGCTGGTTTGAGAAAGAAAGAGTCACTTTGTCAATAGGCAACCCCCCAAGAAAGCCAAGGGAAGAGTCCAGAGGGCGAGGAAATCCAGGCAACGTTGTCCTTGAAAAGAGGGAGCTTGAAAGAATGCGCAGGCGGCTGTGAAGGAATGACAAGAGGAGATCAAAGATTAAAAAATAAAGAGCCCAGATCTGAGATTGCAAAGCAGAACGGGGACAACAACATCGGCAGGAAACACAATAGTTTGTATGAAAGGACCGGAGAACATAATAACAGAATGGGAATAATAATAATAACACCAAGAAAAAGGAGAAGGAGAAGCAGCAGCAGCAGCAGCGAAAAGCTCCGGCACAAACGAAGGGATCTCCGACGGAGGGAAAGGAGGAAAGGAGAAGGAAAAAGGGGAGGTGGAGAACCATGGAAACCACGTTGGAGATCTACAGAACTGAAAACACACCAGCAAATTCAGTCATTGGATTTTTAGGTGCACAATATAGTCTACTGCAGTGGTTCTCAACCTGGGGTCCCCAGATGTTTTTGGCCTACAACTCCCAGAAATCCTAGCCAGTTTACCAGCTGTTAGGATTTCTGGGAGTGGAGGCCAAAAACATCTGGGGACCCCAGGTTGAGAACCACTGGTCTACTGCCATTGCGCTTCATAGGAAAGCCTGGGGTGAATACGTTTCCCTAACTTTGGATCTCAACCTTTTTTTCTGACATATTAAAACGATGATTCTAAAGTTGACCGACATCAACTTGAAGTCCATCTTCTCCTTTCTGTGGACAAGATGACCAACCAGAGAGGACTCCCTCTCATCTAGAATAATGCATCTCAAGCCATCCAATGTGGACAACTAGCTATTTTTTCACCCAACTTCTGGCAACCCCATGAATGAGAGACTTCCACGAAGCCCAACCTCCAAAAGCAATCATAGGGCAGACATGGATTCCTTGAAGGCATCAATCCATGTAGACTATGTTCTTTCTGTCTTGCCTTCAACATTACAGAGCATTATTGAGCCATGGCACACAGAACTGAAAACACACCTGCGAATTTGGTCATTGTTTTTTAGATGGACAC